ATTCTGCACCATTCCTTGCTAATCTAGCTAAGCAATTATTAGTATTATCATAGTAGTGCATGCATTCCATTCGTTTAAGTGTATTATACTCAGGGGGAGGCTCGGTCGTAAACCACCCTGTCTTGGCTTTTTCTGGAGTGCTTTTCTCTAAATATTCTATCGCATCCCTTTGCTTCTAATACTTTACAAAAATAAACACTATCTAGTCGCAATACGCAATCGTCATGGTGTGCATGACGAACAGCAGTACCAAGTAAAGGGGTTAACCCTTGATATTCGTAAACTTGGTTTTTCCAGGAGGAAGCGGTACTTAGCTATTGTATTTGATTCACTTCGGACCAACCTGCCAAACGTCCTAGTCGACACGGACCCTGATTATGATTTGTACTCCGAGGCTATGGAATTTGAAGAGACGATTTCCGGTTCCCATATAAGCTGCAAAACTCTATCGCAATACATGTATGTGGAACTTACAGTACGATTTTTATCTTAGCTGCGTAGTAACTGGGCTTGGTGTTATATTATTTGGAATTGTTGAGTCTGGTTGAGCTCTTATCCATGTAGATCTCAGGTGGACGTGTGTTTTGGCGCTTTCTGTATCTGCTGAGTGCGAGTGTGGGATGATCTGTGGCTCAAATTCTCGTTCCACTTCTCTCAGCAAGTCTTGCACGTCTCCCATTTATGCGGTCACGCAAGACAGAAAATCAGACTTCAATCATTTATCTTCCACCTCAAACTACAGGATGGTATTGCGAGGGTTCAGACTCTCTGCTCATTGTGTCTTGAAGGATCCGACTATTGAGATGTTAAATATTCGAAAGATACCGGAGCGCATGGAGGTAGGTATCCAATCCGGCCTTCGTATTCCAGACCTCTGTGCGATACAGTAGTTTATTTGCTTTTGAACTGGATGAATCCTCGAGCCACCCACCTTACTCAATGCTGATCCCACGTGGAAACCGGTGTTGGGGATATGATTGTCGGATGATGAATATTAATTCTATCAGGCATGAATGATCGACACTGTGGTTCTTAGAAATACTCAAGGTGTATTACTTTGCTCAAATGGGGGCGATACCATGTATCTGCCATGTGTTCCCTGGTCGTAGTTCGGATTGTCTAACCTCATGTCGGTACTCGTGTGTTTGGTATAATTCCGTTTGTATTTTTGTCACCCATTCTGGTTATCATAGACTTGTCTAAGACACCAGCACATACCTATTCTATGATATTGCTGTACCTTTGTTGCAACCTGTTATAAAACAAACTTCAAGTGCCCCTCTATTCGACATCTAGTGTGGAGTGAATTTTGAATATTCAGGCACGAATTCGATCTATCGCTGCTTATGCGGGATACGTCTAATGCGTAAAACGCTTTGCCTTCGAAAGATACAAGTCAGGTGGCGGCTGAAGTCCGAAGCGTGTGCTTTGAGGACAATGCTGTCGATGGGCCCGGACTGTGATGCCGTTTTGGATGCCAATTCCGTGTTCAGGGTTAGCGAAGACGGATATGTGTGCTTTCACAGGTACGGACTCACTTGAGCGGTCGTGCGGTTGTTTTCGGGTCTAATCTATCCTCGCCGTAGTGTATCTTATGCCTGAGCCATTTTTCCTGGCGTTGTGTGCGATGTTCAAAACTTGTATGCAAGTCGTGGGACTATGTATCTAACGAGGCGACTCATGCCGAACGGTCCGGTTTATGTCTTTACCGCTTTCTGTGCTACACGGTAGGTGTGAAAAGGTACAACGGCGGTTTGATCCCGAGGATGATGCGCCAAATATATTACAAAGGATGGGACGGAAACTGAGTGGCCGTGGCGCTACCCCGTGCCCAGCATATAGCAAACACGACGGATGAGCTGAGCTTGTAGCTAATGTACCACAGGCCCCCGACGAGACTCTGAGTCGCACCCTGTGAGTGCATGCCTGTTCTCATCGCAGATCGCTTGCAAAGAATATTACCCCGAGTTACGTTTGTTGAGACAGTCTGGATTGCATTGTCGATTAGATGTATCACGCGTGGGAGATTTCATTAAAGAATGTGTTGCAGGCGCAAGTCAACTAAGCTCGATCTCCGTTCGTAATAGTTAGTGCCGACCGTGTCTTGATATAAATATTTCTTCACATTCGAGTCGTACTGTTCTAAAAACCTCCGGGGTTTTCTTACACCGACACATCGAACCTGAAATCTAGACTCCAACCGTTGCCAGAATTTGTTAGCAGCTTCACGTGCTGCTGGGGTTTCTCACTCGCAATACTAGGTACTTGTATTTCGAATCCGGATGAGAGAAAGGTTTTGTATGTCCATTTATATAACCGTCTACATGTTTTTATTCATATACATATTCGAGTATTGAGATGTATTTACATCCATACAAATACAGTAATTATAAATACATATATGATATATAGATTTATATGAAGATCATGCATTTAAAATGGGATGGCCCGATAGGTCGATATAAAAATAAGAATGGGATGATATCCGTCTAGTATGTACCCGAGATGTGGCGAACAATGTCTATATTTATTAATGTATAGCAGTCAAAATGTTTGCTTACAATTTGTATACTTAAGTATTTTGATGCAAGATATATATCTCATATACAACTATATATGCGTGTAGTATTTGTATTGTATGGTCATAAATATCTAAATATATATGTGTCAAGATATATATCTTCATGTACACATCTATATATGCATGTATTGTTTGTATTTGTATGGTAACATAAAGCTACATATATAGTATGTATTGTCTATTTTTGTAAGGTAAATCGTCGCAATAAGATGCATATAACGATCATCATGTGCGTGATAAGAGTGCCGAATAGGATACTTTCGATTCAAATCGGTTGGCATCTCGTTATATGTTTTCGTTGACGCGATCTAAAATTTATAGCGAAAAATTAAGTGTCCATCTATATAGCCGTCTACAAGTTTCCATAGCAACGCATACTCAACTACATCCCCATACCAATACACATGTATTAAAACAATTAGTTTATTTTGAAATTCCAATCGGATGACATCACGATGATATGCATCCCTTGGCGTGATCTAAAACATGTAGCGAATAACCAGCGAATGCTTAAATAAACTACGATCCACATCAGTGGTAGGAGAGACCACAGCCTCAGCTAGAGTACCTACACTTGATAGCGAATATAGATCGTCAGCCAAACGGTTAAACGCTCTTTTGCGACGCTTGCTATCAACTATACCAATGAGCAGAGTCATAAGCACAAGATATAGGAAGCTGCCACCCGCCAGTAGAAAGAGCTCGGCGTAAAGCAATATGCAAGCAATCGGCTTCACCCACATGTACATGAACGAGAGCATCAAGAAATCTACAGCATCCGAAAAATACATTATCGCCTTATCCAGATACGTGACACACGGCTTCACAACCTGACCACGGCCCGGATGATAATGGACCTGATTTGTTCGGTGCAAGTGTCTGTGACGTTCGTGCGTGATAGCCGTCTGCACCTGTTCGTCTAGCATATGTATGGTCTCATTATCTCGCGTACAACCGCCTATTAATTGCTCTACCTTGTGAATTACCTTATGAATCCTATCCTGATACATATCCATCCTGTGCGTCTCCACAGCCTTAACTTTGGGCGCCAACTTCTCACCAACATCGATTGTCGAGAGTTCAGACGTCTCTTCCCAGACGGCCCATTCGGGTGTTACATACCCTGATGGTGCCTTGTGTCCATTCGCATTCATCCATGCGATTGTATCCGTATAGCCCAATGTAAACAGGCGATCGTATTCTTCTTTCGTTGGTGGGAATGCAGCCCACCATACAGGGACATACTGTGACGGTCTAATATCGGCATTGTGAAAGTACAGAGGGTTTATAGTAATCGAGTTATCATCTACCAGTGGTTGAAAATCGGCAATTCCTCCGTCTATTACTAACTTGCCGTCGAGCATAAAAGGGAAACCAGCTATCGGCGGCGCGCAACAACTAGCGAGGAGCACCTTTTTAAAGTGATCATAATCTCGTGTTTCTGAGTAACGCGTACCGTGACAGCCAGGCAGGATTGTCACAGCAGACTCCGCATGAGCATCGAGTGCCTCCTTATGTTTCAAGTATCTCTCCTCACCTACTACTTTGTCTATGGCTCTATTCAAGTAATAGCGTATACAAAGTCCATTGAAAGGATTCGCTCGTACCTCATCAAGATTTTCCATGCATACCTCTTTCACGTACTGCATATCTGAGCCGATTACTAGGCATACCCCCGCTAGAGCACCTGCTGATGCTCCAGCAAACCGGGCACCATTCTTATTTAATCCATACTCAATTAGAGCCTGTACTGCGCCAAAATGATACAACTTCAACCAGCCACATGCTGAGAAGCTAAATGTAAGGGGTGCTTTGTTCTGTACTAAAGAGTGCTTTCTGCACAGATTAGCGTCAGTACGCTTCTTAACTCTTTGTCCAGGAACTACCTGTGGCATAGCTCGTGCTGAGTTTTTCTTACCCGATAGGTTGTAATCATCCTGTTGATGGATATCGGTGAACATAACTGGTGATTCAGAGACCATCTTTAATATTTCACGAACTGTGGAAGTGTTTCTTTGGATCAGTATTAAAAATATTATAAATGAAAGAAAGGGACGGGATCAGTTTATATATAAATACATTGACACATTGTAAATATAAAGTTACAACAGGGATTAATATGTAGAGAGCGTATGTATTTTTAAACGGCTGAAATTTTAATGACCAGATCGGCGGAATATGTATATACAATCCACAAGTTGCCAACGAACTGAACAGTCAAGGGTCAACCTCTGCTGATCAACCGCTCTGAAGTTTAAAAAAAATAAAATTAGTGATTTATCTACGAATGTCGTCTTGTCGACTCTCGTAGAGTCGTATTTGTGACTCGAAGAGTCGACTCGCATTTAAAAAAAAATGACCGTACTCCAGTTCATAAGCTCTATAAATACTTTACTATTTTTATTAAAACAAAATACAATGAGCCAGTGGACAGTGGTTCCAGTGCGTCCAGTGACTCTAGTCGCCAGGGGTTCAGACTCCAGGACAGTCCAGGTCTCGGGTCTCCAGTTCTCCACTCTCCAGCTCTTTCTCTCTAAATACTGCTATGCACACGGAGTAAGTAGTACTAAGTACAGTACAGAATTAGAGGGTGCTGAGTTGCCGACCGCCGGCCAGACTGCCGTGGAGGGGCCCCAAACCCTCAGCCCTCAGGGCCCAGGGCCCTAGGCCCAGGGCTCTTTAGATGTGTGCCTATTTTTATATAAAAAAAGGGTGTGAAGTTGATCAGGCTTCAACCACTGGACACTGGTCAGTGTGCCACAGCCCACAGGCCCACTTCCTACAAAGTCTACAACTCTACAGCCCCAAGGGCCCAAAATAGCACAAAGAAGAGAGAGAGAAGTGAGTATTGTTTAATTTGGCGGCACTTGGTGCCTGGCAGCCATTGGTCTGGCCGTTGGCAAAGTCTATGGCAGTGAAATTACCAAGTAAAAGGAACACAATCCTGGACGTTCGATTAGTGTAGATTATCTAAGTTTTGATAGGCGCGTGACAGGAGTAAAGAAGCCAAAAAGCCAATGTTTGTCGTTGACATTTTCAGTGTATTTCAGTCACTGAAGGCCAGCCGGTGCCACGGGGGTGACGGGAGTCCGGGAAATTTTATTCTTTTATTAACAAAAATAACGAGAAAAGGTTTTTATTGTAAATAAATATGTTCAGTTTGTAAATAGTATTTACTTATTACAAAAACTAAAAACTAAAAAAAGTCAAAAAAATCAGACCTGAGGGCTGAGGCTTAAGGTGCGGCTTGCGCTGCCACTTGTTGTGTCAGCTGCCTTGAGTCGGCGCGAGGTATTTGTTGTTTAAAAAACAACAACAACAACAACAAATTATTTGCACCAAATATTTTCATGCACTGAGCACTCCGCAGACAGCTTTTACAAATACCAGCGCGGGACGGAAGACTGGAAGTGGGGCGTGGGGCCATAGGGCGTGGGGCCGTAGGGCGTGGGCCCGTGTGGCAGACTGGGGCAATTGGCTACTCTTTGGCCCATGCTCAAATATTTAATTATTTACAGTGACTTTGGTGACTCGTGAGTGTCATCAACTCGTCACTCATCAGTCGTCAACTCGTCACCACTTTCGGGCCCAATTCGGTGCTACGGGCGATTCGGCCTCTGTCTCTCTCACTCTCTTGTGTTGTTGTTGACGTTCTGTGTTGGCAACTTGGCGGCCAGGCTGAGTTGGCTCCTCTGTTACTTAGGCCTGACTTACTGTATAGGGGGTATATGTTATCTAGAAAAAAGAAGTAGAATAAAATCGTTGATCTTTGATTCTAAAAAGGATGAAATGTGACACAATGACATCGTCATTTTTTTAACACGATAAATATATATCGGTTGTCACTTGATAAAATATGAATTTTCCTGTACATACATCATATGATTTAAAAAAATATTGGGTTCAAGAACTTCTTGAAAGTCTTCGACTTGTGTTGTGTGTGTACTTAGTTGTGTACACGTTTCAGGCTGCACAACTGTTCAACGTGTAAAATACACTCAACATTTAAAAGCGAGAGAGAGAGGGTTGTCAACCAGGAATGCCGACTTGTCGTCTCTTCTCGAACTCTCAACTAACGACTTGCCTCTTTCAGACTTCAGTCCACCCTCTGATAACTTTTTCAGAGGTTCTCGTTTCGACTTTTATTATTACGTCTCTTTCAATATCCACCATTCACCGTTGTCCGTTAAATGGTAAAAATGTATACACAAAATGTAAAAACCCAACAATGGGTGTCTCTTGGATGTATTGAATCTTATTTATATTTATGTAAATACTTTTACCTCTTCTCACACTCCGTTGAATGTCAATGAAGACAAGGATGAAAGCAGTGAGCACCGATCTGTCTTGATATCATCCGCCTCTTGCGGTTTTCAAATCTGAGAGTCGCAACTTGCAAGCAATTCTTTCTTGTTACACTCATGAGTCTCATGACTCACAGTCCTCTCACAAGATTTCAGAATACACTATATAGTTGGTTATAATTGAATAAATACAGGCACTCCTGGAATCTGGAACCAGGCACCAGGGAGCATTCGTATATGTTCATTATATATATAAATATGTATTCCTTTTATGTGCGCGGGTATGTATGTATTTCGATATAAATTTTCAGCACGTGTATGTTGCTTTTCTCTTGATATCGTTTCGTGCCTTTTTTTTAAACACAAGAACAGAACTTTATTCCAGCCCTGATATTTGCACACTCATAGAATGATGCTTTAGCGGAGTATAGTGCTTAGAACGGATATGAATGTAGATCATTTGAAGATATATATATACTATATATATATATATATATACTATGTAATATTATATATATATTATGTAATATAATATATATACATATTACATATTATAATATATATCTATACATATATATGTATACGTATATGTGTATGTGTATATATAATAATAATAATAATAATAATATATATATATAAATATAAATATATATCATATAAATATATTTATATATATATGTATATATATACATATATATATATATATGTATATATACACATACACATATACCTGTACATATATACCTGTACATGTATATATATATGTACATATATGTATATGTATATGTGCATGTGTATGCATTTGTACTATGCATAGACACGCACACGCACACACGCACACGCACCACACACACACACACACATATATATATTTTTATAAAGATATATACACGAAGTTCAAGCCACAATAAGCAGTCCCTGAAATAGTGGTTAAGATCGAGGAGAGAACAAGGGCAGTCCTCTCCGTTCTCCGAGAGATTCCTCGGGAAATAAGATCCCGAAAACATGTCTCGGTCAACTAGTACCCCCTCCTGACTTTGTCGGGGGCAAGGGTAGCTCGTTACTTGGGTGGCCGAGAGACCCGATCGCCACCCCCGCAACGGAATGACTATATGTATATATATACACACACACACACACACACATATATATATATATATATATAATATAATATAATAATACATATATATATATATATACATAATACATATATATATATTAGCTATATCTATAAATATGTATCGTTTTACACATATTTCTCTCTTACACACAGACCTATTATATGTGTACACACACACACACGTATATATATATATACATACACACACGTATACATAGTCATATTCATATACATATACATATTTATACCTATACCCATACATATATGTATATATAAACGTATGTCCACACACACATACGCACCCATATATATATACATAATATAATATAAAGTCATATTCATGTACATGTACATGCACATATACATAGATATTGATACACACGCATCAATTCGGAGACCGGATGTAAATAGCGCAGTATTTCATCAATTTAATTGTTCGGGTACGATCAGTAGCGTTTGTACTCGGTCTGCAGAGCTGGAGGCGATGGCCAGGAGATGCACACACCTTTGGCTACATTGACATGTGTCCCATTTCCGGAGATCAAAACAAACTTTGGTAGGTATGGTGCCTATGGAATAAACTCCCTAATGCTTCGGTAGGAATTATGGTCTAGCAAGCACACCCACCCGCTTCGGCCACGGGCTTATTGTCTGTAGTCAGCTTCACGTCCACCACTGGGCAGGAGAGAATTCGGTGGTTGAGCAAACAAGACATTTGGATATGAGGGCACGGATGTCAGGACAGTATTAGAATTGGACCGGTCCTACGATTGTAGTTGGGGCAGAATCAACGTGATACCACTGAGGCAACCAACAGCTTATGATATTTATGTTCTAAAAATAGCTACTTGCGCGTGACCTGCACATGACTGACTTACTACTGCAGGCGTAGCACACGGGCTCTCTCGGGAGGGCTAGCTAACATGAATAGCAATGGAGCATAGCAAGACTTGCACACGTACAGGCGGGTTAACAAGGCTATGGATCAAAGTACAGTCGTTTGCATTTATTAAATGGTACAACAAGGTTATAGATCAACCTAACAAGGTTGTAGATCAACCTAACAAGGTTGTAGATCAACATAAGAAGGATATAGATCAACATAGTTATAGATCAACCAAACAAGGTTATAGATCAACAAAAGGAGGTTATAGATCAACATAACAAGGTTATAGATCAACATAGAGGGTATATAACAACATAAAAAGGTTATAGAACAACATAGAGGTTATAGATCAACCTAGCAAGGTTATAGATTCAACTTAACAAGGTTATAGAACAACATAAGGAGGATATAGAACAACATAGTTATAGAACAACATAAGGAGGTTATAGAACAACATAACAAGGTTATAGATCAACAAAAGAGGTTATAGATCAACCAAACAAGGTTATAGAACAACATAACAAGGTTATAGATCAACATAGAGGTTATAGATCAACCTAGCAAGGTTATATATCAACTTAACAAGGTTATAGAACAAAATAACAAGGATATAGATCAACATAAGGAGGTTATAGATCAACATAACAATGTTACAGATCAACCCAATAAGGTTATAGATCAACCTAACAAGGTTATAGAACAACATAACAAGGTTATAGAACAACATAAGGAGGTTATTGAACAACATAGTTATAGATCAACATAACAAGGTTATAAATCAACATAGAGGGTATAGAACAACATAACAAGGTTATAGATCAACATAGAGGTTATAGATCAACATAAGGAGGTTATAGATCAACATAAGGAGGATATAGATCAACCTAACAAGGTTATAGGGTCAACCTAACAAGGGTATAGATGAACATAACAAAGGTTATAGATGAACATAACAAGGTTATAGATGAACATAGTTATAGATACATACAATCGTTTGCATTCTTCTCTGGTGTGTTCTCCATGCCTGGGAGCGCGGCGGCGACCCGTCGGAACAATTGCTTTACATTGTAACCAGCTGAGGATAAATAGACAGCTTATAGTTAGTATAGCCCAACCTGTGTACTACACTCACACCCAGCTGAGGATGAATATAGATATCGTATTGTTAGAATAGCCTGACAGGTGTATTAAACTCGCACGGATTGGAGATGGTGGCATGTGGATTTACTTAGGGCGTCAATATACTCTTACTAATTGTAGACACGTAGCCACACATACCGAATGTTGGCCTGTGCATGCGAGCGTGATAGGTGCAAACACAAAACAGCAACTACACAGACGACAACTACACGGCATACAAGGACATGGCCTACACAGAAACTGATAGTATCTGTCTAACACAGCAACTGATAGTGTCTGTCTAACACAGCAGCTGATAGTATCTGTCTAACACAGCAACTGAGAATATCTGTCTAACACAGCAACTGATAGTATCTGTCTAAATACACAACAAACACTCGAGCCCTCACAGTGATCAGTGCTTAAATGTACACTGCCACAGCAACTGATAGTATCTGTCTAACACAGCAACTGATAGTATCTGTCTAAATACACAACAAACACTCGAGCCCACACAGTGATTAGTCCTGGAATGTGTCCCGTGATTCGAAATTTGCGTAAGGAGTGCAGCTCAGATAACACCGCTACAGCGATGAGGGTTCAAATGAGGAACACACCTTTAGCACTCGTTTCGATGAACATAACGTTCAGTTCTTTGGCCTTTTGCTCACCCTCCTCCTTAGATACTTGTCTGTGGGTATAATATGAGAGGGTGGGTGAGTGAGCCAAGTAAGATGTCATACAAGTAGATAAGGGGATGGCACCTTAGATACTTGTCTGTGGGAATAATATGAGAGGATGAGTGAGTGAGCCGAGTAAGATGTCATACAAGTAGTTAAGAAGATGGCAGGTAAACCCTCACACGTTAAACAGACGGCACTCGATGTGTTGTGAGAGACGGGACAGCGCCACAGCCAATCGCATCACGCGCAGACACAACGCAGAGTCATCTGTACCGACTGAGCCATTCCGGTGCACCCGTGTACACTATAGCGTACACCATAGCCTAGTACTGAACACAGCATAGTACTGAACACAGCATAGTAAAACGCGCACGTGTTGTAGCATCTACAAAGACGACGTGTGCGTACAAACCTCTTTTCTTCCAGATCGGTTTTGTTTCCGGCCAGAAGAATGATGACGTCGTTGCCCCGTTCCGCACGGACATCCTCAATCCACTTTGACGTTTGCAGAAACGAATTGCGATCTAGGGTGATGAGGATGGAAGTATGAGTATAACAAAACAATGTGCAGGGGTGGTTTAACATCCCACTTCATCTGTTGCGGTATAAGCATCAAACGCGGGTGTGCGCATACAAAATTTGGAGCGCACATATGGCATTTATATATATATATATTATATATACAGCCTCATGTAGATTTTAGCTTAGACCTGTCTTAGGCCAAATTTAGGACTCAATGAGAATACCCAAAAGGATTCTACAAAGTTCAGATACGGGCTGAGCAGGCTCATGCGGCTGATCACAGAGCAGCACCAGTGCAGGACTATACATACTAGCCCACACGCCGCAGAACTCAACTGTACTGACTACAAAGAGCTTACGC